GGGGGGGGGGCGGGCCCCCCCCCCCCCCCCCCCCCCAAAGGGTTTCGGGGGGGGGGGGGGGGGGCCCAGGGGAAACCCGGGCGGGGAGCCACCCCCCCCCCCCCCCCCCCCCCCCCCCCCCTTTGTCTCACGAACATTGCCGACAATTGCATCGTGCAGCAACACCGTCCGGTGCCCCAGTTGTAGCTTGTCCCGGGCGACATGGTTTCTCGCCTGCCTCCCTCACGCTGCTCCCCAGCAACAATAAATAATTCCAGCGTCTAGGTACCAACAGCTGGCGTGATCTCGTGGGGTATGTGGTATGCTTTTTCATGCCGGGGCCCCCAAGGTTTTCCATCCCGCCGTCCGTCGCCGCTCGTTTGTAACCGCTCCTCGCGGCAAAATAACGCCTTCCCAACCAACCTCTCACCCCCGCCCCGTGCTTAGGTGTGCCGCGGTCTCCCTGCCTTAGAAACCGTCTCCCGGCGCCGCACGGCGAAGGCTAGAAAGAGGGCGAGAGATCCTCCGCGGGGAAGCGATGAAACGAGAACCGACAACGGCGGCCATGATGGTGGCAGCAGCGGTAGCGATAGCGGTGGCGCCGGCGCGGCCGGGCGGCCTGGGTCCAAGCTGTGGGCGGACACGAGCTCGGACAGGGTCGAGAAGGACCGTTCGGGGAAAGAGAGGGAGGGAGGGAGTAGGCCATCGTCGTCGTCATCATCGTCTTCCGCAGCGGACGTTTGGAAGATCCGCGTCGCGCGCCTCAGAAAGCAGGTGGAGTTTTGCGTGGAGCGGGGCTGGATAGCGAGGGGCAACCGCCCGGGCACGTACACCCTGCCCAAGCCGCCGCCGCGGTTCGGCGGCTCCTCCGGCCCTCCCCGGGACGACGAAAACCTCCCGTCGGAGGAACACCATCACCACTCGCAAGACGGCGACGGCGGCGGCATGCCGCCGCCGCCGCCGATTGCCGTCGAAGATTTCCCGGAAGGGGGGTTCGCAGGCGAAGGTTACGGCGGGGGGGGTGTCGTCGGTTTCCCGACAGACAGGCTGCCGCCGCCGCTGGCGGATGCTGCTAGGGGCCGCGGGGCACCCGGCGGCGGCACCTCGGGCGGCGGCACGCTCTGGGTGGAGGCCGATGCAGGCAGCAGCGGGACTGCGGCGCGAGGTGGAGGCGGCGGCGGCGGCAGCGGTGCACCAAGGACGCGCGCCAGACAGCCGCCGCGTGTTCCGGTTGTCCCTCCAGGGCATCAACGCAATTACGTGTTGACGGGGGCGGGGGGCGGGGACAGGGGCGGCGGCGGCGACGGTGGACCAGGTT